CACTTCAAGTCAACATGCAACTGGGTGGGACAGCTGAGGTTTATTCCATTTAACACTGTCAAAGCAAGGGGCCGCTTCTATTTGTGTAGTTCCAACTTGCTTTCCTCAAGCCATCTAACAAAAGAATATTGTTGCAAAGACTTACAGGCATCAGTCTTACCCCAAATCCTGCACCTAGGATTCTTAATTACTGTGACAGTAAAAACCACCCACGAAGATATGATTTGTACCTAAAAAGCATGACATTTCTATGTCCCACTCCCACACAGAATTGAGGCTTCCTCTTCCAAGTTCACTGTGTTAAACTACCTCCCTTTAGGATGCCATACCTTAATGTTAACCTAACATCAAAACAAGGCTACACAACAGCTTGGCAAAGAGCACTCCTTCAGATGCAGTCATCAAACCCTCATTTTAGCTAACGAATATCAATTTTATACTAATGCAGTGATACTGCTGACAGCAGCAAAGATCAAATCCAACAAAGCAAAACACAAACCCATGCTTCCAGTAAGAAGAGGTCTCTGTACCTTGGGCTCGAGTATCAGTTCCACCCTTTCATTACTTTCTTCTTCTTCTGAGTCAGAGTTGCCTGCTTTGATGTCTAGCTGTTCAAATGCACTGTCCAGAACTTGCAATCCATAATTCACTGCTTCCTGAATTTTGGGGATCAGATCAGCTTCTTTCTGTTCCCGAGTCTTTTCCTTTAGTAACAGAAGAAACACATTCTCATTGCATTTTACTCAAGACTCAATCTTACTGCAACACACACGCAAAATGCTAATTTCAAATTAGTACAATGAAAGCTTTCTCACTATATGTATTAGAAAGACCTTTGGAAGTTTCTTTTGCTTGATTTAATGCATCATTATCACTCCTAGAAACAGAGATGTTCTAAACATCCACACCAGCACACTATTGTCATATTTGTGCTCTCAACCCATAAAGGGAACATTTATGGTATAATACACCTAGATTGTAAGAGATATATAAACCTCTCTAAGGTTTTATTCCTGGGAATTATTCCAGTCAGATTCTGCTTCCCCATTTCACTACCTGTGAATCCAGTAGGGTGGCTCAAGGCCTCAGTCTCTTGCTGAAAAAACATGCATAACCACTTGAAAAATCAATGCATAAGTCTTGTCTGCTGAACACAGTATTGAGCTTGGAGAGTCCGTAACAGATCATCACACACTGTTACTGTCAACTTTATGTCTGAAATGACACACACTATCCAACAGAGAGACTTTAAGGAGAAAGGAAAGAGTTCGGTTTGTAAGCTGTAAATGTACGCAAAGTAAGTTTGAAAATGAGAAGGTAGACAACAGCTGCAAACATACTGACAGCACTCTAGGCAGGGTTAACTACCTGCTCTGTTTTGTCTCCAACGTCAGCTTTGGGAATAGGCTCTTCCACTTCTTCATCATATACTCTCTAAAAAGTAAAGGAAAATTAATTCATGTAAGAACAACATACTGCTGCAGGGGCTAAACCACGGGTACCACCAAGAAACACACTATTAATATGTAATTAACTACACATTAATTCATTACACGTTTAAAAAGAGAAGCCATGGATGATGTCAAGCACCTTCATAGCCTCCTTTATGCATTGAATTACTTTAGTTACCTGATGTCTTCAATCTCAATGCAACTAAAGTAATTCAAGTCTGCAAATGTCACTGCAGTAGTAGAAAACGAGTTGACCATTTAACCCTGTACACAGATTAACTTGAGTATGTTAAAAAAATGCACTCTTTTAACCCTCCCAACATAAAGGTATTCTAGACACCCTCAGAATTATTCAGATAACTTACAAACTGTCTACTTTCCTTTCATTCTTTAGCATTTACCCTTCTCCTGTACTTACAGAGAAGGTTCACAACATCCCTCAACCTTCAGTTTGTTCTGATGATCCCTCGCTCCTTTAGAACTTTTTTAGGACCAGCTACAAGGAGACAAAGGGGAATGAAAGATCTTCCTGGAAGCTGCAAACTTAAATCCAAATCTCAAACACAGGTGCAGTTATCCCCTGGGAAGAGATAGATCTCTCACTAACTAACCAGAAATGAAGACCTATTTCTGTGCACTTAATTTGGGAAGAAACAGTTTCAAACATACAAGACTTAAAACATTTGGTACAAACTGTTCTCAGCAGAATCATTATGCTGAACAGCCAAGTTAGGCAAAAAAGACACTGCAGCTCTGAAAAAAACACCACTATCACAAAAAAAAAAAATCCACAACAGAAATCCAGATTTCTATCTTTTCCTCTGCCACCATCTTTTCAATAACACCGTGGCTTCAGATGAGACACATATGGCCTGAAAACAGTGCTGATCAAAACAAAATGCCTGATAAAATCCACAGCAGTAAAAAAACTTTCCCAAATCTGAAATACTTTATTAAAGATCTATATCTTAATGAGACACATGCTTCTAGTGATACAATGTTGTAACAGGTTTTCAAGTCTAGCTTCACCTTTCAAAATAGCAATATTTGTAAAGTGGCAACATTAGCCAGAAAATATGTTCATCGCAGCCAAACATAAGGGACAACTGCCTGCAGCCCTACACCTTTAACACCAGATGCTTTTAGAGCAAAATAATATCACTAGGAAATTTACAGCATTGTATAACATTCTCATATTTAGACAGACAAGTACAGGCAAATGCTACATTCACAGAACTTGTGAAGATAAACCAAGACATTTCAGAGATCCCAGCTCATTCATAGTACTAAAAATGAAATCGTGATCTCCAGGTCATGTATAAACAAGGAAGGTACTTCAGAACATGCAAAAGGGAACCTACCAGTATTGGAGAATGCATCACTCACAAAAGAATTAGGACATCCTTTAACAGAAAGCAATTAAAAGTCACCTTATCCCTAAATTAGCATCAGACTTGCCAAAAAGTTAAATCCTTTCTCCACTTTTAAGAGACAATGCCAATGTTTGGAGTACAAGTTTGATGCTGTACTAGAACACACTCACATTCTCTATGAACTGCGTGTTGGACAACATAAGAAAGTCGTTGAAGACATTATGAAGGCGACAGTCTGTAGCTTTTGTTTCGCTAATCAATCCATCCACTTGTTTTTTAATTTCATGAGTCCTGGAAATGGTTTGTTGTGAGAACTCTTGTAGAAAATGCAAAAGCTGTTGACAACAGAGGAAAGCAATAGTCAGCATGCAGCTCTTTTTCCTTTTGGCAGAACTGACCATACACTTCAACTGAGCATCAAAACAAACACAGTTTAGACTAAAGGACCCGCACACACACCCAGGATCAAGTCTCAGCCACTTCGTTCCGCTTCTCCTTTGGGGCCAACTCCTCACTTTAGTTTTCCCGCCCGGACCGGAGGGTTAAAGCACCGGGAGAGCCGCCGGGCCCTGACCGGGGCCGCTCCTCCCGCGTTCCGGGGCCCCGGGGGTCCGCGGCCACGGCGCCCCTCCCGCGCTGGGCCACCCCCGAGCCCCGCGGCAGCACCGCCCCGCACACGGCCCCGAGTCCCGGGGAGGCCGCGGCCCGCGCACCCCTCCGGTGCCGGGCTCCGGCCCGGTGCCGGCCGCACCGCTCACCCCGGCGTCCGAGGCCAAGGACCAGCTCTGGCTGCCCTTACGGATCTCCTCCAGCGACCAGGGCCGCTCCCACACGGGCGCCGGCTCCGCCGCGTCCCCGTTCATCTGCGGGAGAAGGACAGTGAGCGGGGGCCGCCCTCAGCGGCCCTCGCGCCCCCGGCCCGGACCCGCGCTCACCGCGGCCTCGCGCCGCCGCCCGCGGTCAGCTGAGCGCGCTCACGTGACCCCGCCCCGCCCCGCGCGCGCGGGAGGGCCGGCAGGGGGCGCCAGGCGGCGCGGGCGGGGCGATCCCGTCCCGTCCCGTCCCGTCCCGTCCCATCCCACCCTGTCCTGTCCCATCCCACCCCACCCTGTCCTGTCCCATCCCACCCCATCCCACCCCATCCTTTAATTACTTTCGATATTCAATGAAATGGGGAATTAAATCCTTTGTTGATAACGCAAATTTCTCCTGGCACAGACCTGCATGCATTACAAAACATGAGATCTACGTGCTCTGTGTGTACTGATGCTGCAAAATGCACGGTCCTACCATCAGGCAGCTTCAGGTCCCAGGGGTCTTGCAGATTAGTTTCCATTAAAAAAAACAACATGACAGCTACATGGAACCTGAATGCTTCCTTAGGGAAAGTTGTTTATTTGTGATACATACACCAGCTTCTGAGTAGAGAGGGCTATAAATGGCACAATCGAAATCTGCTTTCTATTAGTCCCATCCTAAACATTACAAGAAGGGTTCAAAAAAAGCATTTCAGTCCTAAAATTCTTTTTAGAAAGGAATTTATACAGGTTCCTTTTAAAGGTTAGAGAGAAGATGACAGCAAGAAAAATCAGTGGCTCTTCCCCTCAGAACTTTACAAGTGATGATGTGATGTAAAGGTATCAAAAATCATGTATGTCATTAGGGACTAACCTGCAGATGAAGAACCAGAATATGTAAGACTGCACAGGGCTCAACTCTCTGATATCCATGCTTACAGGCATGCCTTAGCCCAGTGGCATCACTTGCTGCTTGTACCTGGCCATGAGATCTCTGTTCCACTTCCATAGCAGGGCAGAGTGCTGTTGGAATCAGACTGGGGGACAAGTTCTTTCCTGTGTGGCTGTAAGGACAGAAGTTACAGCAGACGGGTGTACCTTGTAATCCAGCCAGCCCCATGCAACTACTCAGCCTCATGTATTTGCAGCAGTATGAAATGAGCCAGAGGTCTTTTGGCAGGACTCTGAAAGGCTGCAGTGAAAGTGCAGGGTCAGGCAAGAAGGTTACTGGGAGATCCCTGTGGATCACAGAGGTGGGCCAGAGTACAGGACACAAAGGGTTTGAAGAAAATACACAAAAGACAGCTTTGAGAAGCACAGCACATACTGCAGTTGCTGCGCTCTTCTGCCCACCAGTTTCTGAAGAGCTAACAGCATAATGGGATGCTATAGTTATGAAGATACGGTGAAAGAGGAGGCAGACCTTTATAGATCTCTTCCTCATTCTACTTCAGCCTATTTTTCTGCAATGTTGCTCCATGATGCAAAAAGCTGCTGACTATCCTGAAGCTGCTTGTTAGCTCCACCTAAAAATTTACTACCCGAGACTGCTGCCAGACCATAAATCCTCTGGTTCAGGTGAGCCAACACTGAAAACTGGGGACTATACTGTTGAAAGTTTGTTGCTCTAGTGGGAAAATTTGCCTACATGCTGACTTGACATCAGTTATATGCCTCAAATTACATCTTACTCTGGGATTTCCCTACAAAGTTGGGGATGCAGACATAAATATGTAAATCTGTGATTTTACCTCCTCAATGTAGTAATGAAATTAGCAGAGATGGACCAAACAGTGGAGTCCAATCCTGGCACACTTAGGGATTCTGTGCTATAGCAATCTGGATGATTTTCTCCTGGCTTGGATCACTAAGCTTCCTTCCTGTGAAATCAAGGCAAAAGTAGTGGGAGGGGTACTACAAACAGTTGGAATTATCCAGATCAAAGAGCACACTAGTACTCCTTAATCCACCAATTTAAACATAGGTTGAGTTAGCCTCAAATATTGTTCTTTATGTCCAACATCTGCAAACATTATACCAAGAAGCAATTGCAAAGCAAAGCAGGAGGTTCAGTATCTATGCTCTTGCACAAGCTGACACCTATTTTCTCCCATGGACTTGACCCCCAGTGGGTACCTACAATTTTTTCCATATGTCCATAGGACTGCGCAGAAATTTTAGCAGCTACAGAATGGCTGTAGGAGGCTAAAAGCAAGGTGATGCAACACTGAAATTAATTTGAAGGCCAGTATTGCACACCTGTTATGTATGATCCCAGCTAACTGTCTCTTCAGAACCTCTGCAGAGCTGAAAGCAAACATTTTGCTTTGGAGTGGATCCTGACTGCTCTCAAACCAAGGAGTCGATTGTTTTGTCCAGAAAATATCCCTATATAAACAACATGGCTAGCTTTATGCTAGGCCGTACGCAACTGTATTAAAGAACACACACACACAGATTATGACATAACAGGAAATGCTCTGCATTCATACAGGATTATTAGGGGGATCTGATTTTTCTCCTTTACTTATTTTTTAAACTGTTTTTGTGAAGTGGTTACTAAATTCCCATTAGCTTTTGTCCATGAGGAAATTATAGCATACATTGAACAAGAAATTAGAGTCTCGATGTGACACAGAATATATATATATAAATATGTTTCCCTCTTCTTAATATTCTGAGTCATGATATGCCATATAGCTAGCCTGGGTAATTTTTTTTCCATGTGGATAAAAGTTTTGGCAGACGTACTGCTTAAACAGCCACACAGCACTTGGTTAAACTCACAAATATTTACAAAGTAAAAAATTAAAGAATACCACAGCCGGCTTTCCCAATAGCTAACAGAAAGTAAATATGTTTTTAAAACTTTAGAACAGGATGCAAACAAAAGAGAAAGTCAAAATACAATTAAAAGTTAAACTGCATCACATGGGAGAGAACCCCAACACAATTTGTGCATTGTTCTTCATTTTCCCTGCCACTCCTCGTTCTCATGCATGGGTTGTGTTGTATGGCTTGGTACAGATACAGAGAGATGTGTTGTTCAAGCCCTGCAATTACCAGAACTCCCCAGTCTCCAAGAGGTAGTCCCAGCACCTGCGTTATCTGCAGGCTGCTAAAGGTCTTGGGGTTGACGAGCAAAGTCAGGGCTTGAAGATGCCTCAGACTTTGGCACACGGTGCAGAAAGGAGTGTCCATAGCTAGAAATAAGTACATATTTGCTGTCACTGGACCAGCACAGGAGCCTGAAGCCCCCCGACATACTTCCCTTCCTGCTTGGTGTTCTTTGGTGGTTAATGCATTGACAGAACACATCACTTGCCTATTAGTGTATTTATTCATTTCAGGGAATTCAAAATCAGCTTTACTATAAATAATTAATTATAAACCAAGGGTCAGAAATAAGCACACTATGATTACCCATGTCACCTAAAAAGACCTTGTTGTAGTGAGTCAAATGACTTACTGCAATAAGCTGTGCAAGCAGGAAAAAAATAACCAGGCTGATAAATTCTGTTCAGGTAATTAGAAATCCTAGGAAAAACAAAATCCACAGCAAAACTGGTAATCCTCTAAAGGAACTTGGACTTGGACACACATGGTTTCCCTCATGTGGATTTGATCCTTCTTTGATCCAAAAAGTTCATCTCTGATGGTAAAATCATGGGTTTGGAGAACAACCACTACCCTGGAGTTCCCTTGGTGAGGTGTAGGAATACATACTGTGTGAAGAATGGGGGAAGTTGACTTTTGTGTTCCGTCTCTAGGTTCTGCGTTCTTCTACAGTCAGGTAATAAGCTCTAAAACTTGAAATCTCTGACACACTTAAGGAAGTCAGCCAAAGCCATGCATCAAGTCAGCATCAGAATGAAAAAATAAAAAAAAGTTCCTGAATCACAGTTCCATGGTTTTCTACTTCAGCAAAACTTTGAAACATGAAACTCACAGGACTAATGAAATAGTACTACCCTCCCCCTTTTGTCAACAGTCAAGAAATTAAACTTCTCATATCAATTGTTGTATCATAGTTGATAAAGCAACATAGAGCCAGGATGACTGTGAACTTATGTTCCAAGTTAGATCCAGCAAAGCCTTTCACCAGGTGAGTTCTTGAGAACAAGGAGTGGCTCCACTGGAGATAACGGGCTTAAGGATGTACACAAGTGGTTTGCTTCATCCAAGCCCTAAGATCTATTTTGAAGGCTGCAGAAGTTAATTGGAGTTTTACAGCTTTCCTCAGAAGGCTTTAAACCTATTTAAACTAAAGATTGTACTTCCAACATACAGGAGGTTTAGTTATCTATGTGACTTATGTGCAACTATTTACCTGCATGATAAATAAATTCTATGGAATCAGGAGTGAACTTAGCAAAAAACTTATTCTCTCATCAAGTATTAATCCACCATGCGGACACCAGCTCTCTGGCTGTTCAGGATCTGAAAGGGAAAGCTTTTTTGATGGAAAAGTAAGAACACTGAATCACAGAGTGGTTTGGGTTGAAGGTGACCTTAAAGATCATATAGTTCCACCCCACCTCTGCCATGGGCAGGGACACCTTCTACTAGACCAGGTTGCTCAAAGCCCCATCCAGCATGGCCTTGAACACTTCCAGGGATGGGGCATCCACAACTTCTCTGGGCAACCTATTCCAGCATCTCACCACCCTCACAGTAAAGAATTTCTTCATAATATCTGTCCTAAATCTGCCCTCTTTCATTTTAGAACCGTTACCCCTCAACCTATCACTGCTCTCCCCATCTTTCCTGAAGTCCCCCATTAAGTACTGGAAGGCTGCTATAATGTCTCTCCAGGGCCTTCTCTTCTTTACTTGCTGCAGGTTGACTACTGCTGGAGATTATACATCAGTCCTGATACACAGAAATGGCCTTTCCTGACTACAACAGTGAAAATCTAGCCTAGCAGATTACAGTATGGTGTTTCTCTCCAAGGACATTATTCTAAACTCTTGCTTATACTCCAGAGTTACGTAACAGTATTGAATTTAAATTAGTTTTTAAACCAGGGCAAAAACATTTAGTTGCACTTAAAATGAATCTCTGTAGCAGTTTAGCTGAGAGGGAATTTACTTAAACTACTGTTACTAAACTGCTCGTTAAACCTAATGCTTGGTGTAAATCACCATAAAGTTTACCTTTAAAATAAAATAAGAACACTCACTAGGTTTTACATCAATTTAACTGGAGGGTTTTTAAATAGCCTGGAAGTGAAACCAGATGGATGAGGCTTTTCTTTCTCCAGCTCTGAAAATATACTCAGTGAATGGCCTGGTAACAGTAGATTACCTTAAACAGCAAGTTGCTGGCAGGTCATGAAACAACATTTTGGGGACAACACGAGGGTAAATAAACGGCATCATCTTCCATCACCACAAAATCACCTGCCCTTTAGAAGGTCCTAGAAAGGTACTTCTAACCAATAAAAAAGTAATACTATAATAGCTGGACAGGATAACCTTTTCAGAGATTTTTCCAGGTGTCAACACTTCAGAGGAAAGTCTTCCTGAGAAGTTAAAAGAGACCAGACATGTTTAGCAGCATTCAGCTGGGAAACTAGGAAAGTTCTAAGTACGAAATTCTTACAGTTGTCCTACCAACAAAGCCTTAAAAATGTTATCTGCCTTTTAGTAGTCTTGCATTCAGAAAAGGCAGATCTTCAACACTGTTTTCATAATCCAGCTATCAGCTTCATAGGAATATTGAAAATTATCAGAAATGGCAGAGCTGATCACAAGGATAATACACTTTTCATGGGAGAGCTTGTCAGGCAGTTTTGTCTCTCCTCATGCTACATAACAACTGGTGACAAGCAAATTAGCGCAGTGCTATGGAAGCAATCACTCTTGGAAAAAAAGTGTGTTAAAAAAAGGAACTCACTGAAGACATAGCCAGATCTAAGACTTTAAGAAGGGACTAAATTCTTTTAGAGCAAGATCTGTGTATCCTGAGGTAGGAGGTTCAAAGGCACACAGGAGTGTCAGCTGAGCAGCAGACAATCCACAGCACAGCTGGCAGAGCTCCGGCATCTTTGTCAAGAAATCACTGGCAGAAGAATAAGGTGTTCTGCCTAACAAGCACTTTGAAAGCAAAACCAGTCTTGCTTTGAGGTCTCTATCAAAAAACCATAAAAAGACTGGCATAAAATTTCCTGTCAAGCCCAGGGTGACCTGGTGTTAGCAAAGCCCATGCACGTGGTAGGCAAAAGGAAGGGAACTGTTTTTACAGTTGTGCAAGACATAGGTTGGTGCACATCAACTACAGTTTCTCTACATTTGTATGAAAGCCTTATATCATGAGACCTGGGAGAAAATATACAATCATTGCTAATAGAGTTTCCAAACAATGCTTAATATGACAAATAAGGACTAAGTCTTAATAGTGAAATAAACTGTTCTTACTTAATTCATGCTTTAGATACAATTTTTTTAAAAATTTTGGAGGATTTTTTTAAAACTCTGTAAAGCATAAAATTTGTACTAACAACAGCACCTCTGAGAAGAATTTAAGGATGGAAAGCAAATATTTTCTATCTAAAACAATACGGTGCTTAGGACAGAGGATGAGATGCCTGGATATATATACAGGAAATGTCCTTCATAGTATCTGAGGTCATTTCCACAACACTTACAAGCTTTTACACTTTGTTCTATATTTAGATTTGAAATGAGATACTGTGAGGTTGGAGGCTGTTCAGAAATGGGTTGCAAGAATGAAAGGAAATCTGTGTTACAGAATTGAAGACAAAAACTGCTGTGCTCCCCTGAGAAAGGTTGTAAGCTGACTTGACACACTGTAAACAAAGACGAGAGGAAGACTTTTATGATAAAGTACAATAATCTAGTATGTCAGAACCAAAGGATGAGAAAGGATATTTATTGAATTTTTTCAATGAAAACATGAATATCATTAAATGTAAGTTTTACAATATAATGATTATATCAGAAAAAAATAAAGCAGGTGTATAGTCTGAAACCTGAATGCTTAGTAACTTTTCATTAATTATGGATTTCTAACTAAAGGATTATCAAACCTCAACAGACTTCAACTTCAGCATTTCCTTTAGGGAGGTAATGGAATTACATTGTGATGCACTTAGATTTATTTTGCTGAATTCTTTGGGTTGAATTGTTATAAGTACTCAGCAATACATAGTGCATAGGAAAAAAGGAATGACAACTTTTCTTGCCACCATTCCAAAGTATATAACTGTATTTAGTTTACTCAAAAAATAAAAAAAAAAAAAAAAAAAAAAAAAAAAAAAAAAAAAAAGAGCCCTACATGATTTAAGTTGTGGTACAGCCAAATTTTCTTGGATTTCTGTGTTCAAAGTTTCTAAGCTTTAAAATCGTGTGCTAAATTTCCCGTAGCAGATGACAAGTGCCCCACAGGGGTGACTTTCAAATTGCTTGGAAGCATCTGCAACAAGTATTTTTTAAACATAAGTAGGGCCACAGTCTGGTATTTCTTTCTGAAAAGATGTTGCAGGAGCAAGAAAAAGCAGAGTACTTGATTAGCACTCTGAAATTTATAATTTCTTGTGAAAGTTTTGCACACATAAAAGTGATCATATACTCTATCATGGTTATTCAACTCAAAGCCTGAATACCGCCACGGGAGTAACAGCAGGCTTTTGATTTGAGAGGAAATTCTTATTTTGGTTGAGGAGAAAGAGAAATGTTGTAATGTGATCCAGCTTTGATTAAGGTCTCAGTGTTAAGTGGTTTTAATACTGGTAATGGCCAAGTACGTTCGGATGGTTATCTTTCAGTGCACACTGCAGCATTAAGCGTGAGTTTGCAAACATCCAGCAAAAGCTCCTGTTGCTACTGACACCTATTTCACTACTCTCAGCGTATTCCAGCCCACTGATAGCAGAAACTATTTAGCATGCACTCCTACCACAGCTAAAAGTCACCTAGCCATATAATACTGCCTACAGCTTAGCTATCAATACTTGTGTTTCATCAGAAAGGCATTTTTTCTAATCATAATGCTTCCAAGAAATGCAGAGTTCTAGACTCAGCATTTTACTTAGGTCAGTGTTCTACAGAATCAAATATTTTCTCATTGCCAGCTGGCAAAGTTTCAGTGATTTCTTCAGCTATTTCAACATAACTGCATTTGAGTTGAGCAGGCTCTTTTTGCCCCATCTAGACTTGAACTGCATAACATAAGGGCACCAAAAATTATTAGCTCTCTGATTCCACATTAAGCCCTTCAGATTTCTTCTGGAGACTTGGAACTCTTTGGAAGCCAAGGTTCCACAATGGTAAGTCTAAGGTTTAGATTTTTCAAGGGGATACAGATAGATATTTGCTTTGAAACTGCAAAAGAAGAATATTTAAGGGAATAAATTATGTACATATTTCAACTGTGAACATATTGTATTTAAAAACTGTAGGATGCAAAGGAAGTAAGACACCTTTGGGAAGATTACTGCAAATTTTGTTCTTTGTATTTGAATTCTTTGCAGGAAACTGTACAGATTAGTCTTTCATTTACTGTTATCCTGTCCTCAGAAATGGTTGTGAAATCATTCAGAATTTTGTAAACATTTAGGACCATGCTTTTAAAACCTATCAATGTGAAATAAAGTTTAAAACATAATGGCATTATAATGAAAGAAATGTATATTTTGTCTGCATATCCTGTGTGCTCTTTTCTTTTAATCTCTCAAGTTGTGTGCTGTTTCAGCTCTTCAAGCCTCCAAACGTGTTTGCAGAATCTGAATCAACAGTTAGGTCGAGCTAAATAGGTAGACAAAGCTTCTGGCCTAGTTTTCCTCTAATTTGTGCTCACGTAATCCCTGAAGGTACAGACATCAATTACTACCTTTGATGAGAATCTCAGGAATGGCATAAGTTCTAGAGAAGAAGCAGTACTTTCTGTGAGACATGCTGACTCATAAATAGGGAAGAAATGATCATCTGCTTCTTTCTCTGCTTAAGCTTTACTGCTAGATTTCTGCTACTTATCTGACATATCCTTTGGCTGCAGCATGAAGTCAGTTCAGACAATGACTGAACAGCACAGACTTACCCCTATATCTCTGATATCCTAGATTCAGTGGAAGTTCCAGAACGTTGATCTTTAGAGAGAGGAGCATGCCCAAGCTCATCTGACTGGCATTTCTAGGAACAGCATGACAAGGACAAACGTTGGAACAAACAAAGGATAAAACATTCACAGAAGACAGCACAGCAAAAGAAGCATTTTAGAATTTCCAACAAAGACATGAGGGACATGCCATGGCACTGTATGTGCTGTTGCAAACTGCTGAACCAGTGTGGAAGAAAGCCATCCCCAAACTCCAGCTGGATGTCTAATGTATAGCAAACAGCATCCCAAGCATGTTGAGATAGATCCTGTGTGGAAAGCCACAATTCCCTGCCCTCCCAAAGCCCAGGGCAGCTGCACAACACAGAGAGCCCCACAGATTCATGCCAAATGCACAGGGAGCCTCAACAGAGACCAGCTGCAATGTTTCATCCTACAGCTTCAGGGAACAGGAGCTGCTTAGACATTTTCCTGTGGCCAGGCACCATGGAATAGAACAGTTGAAGAGTTTAAGTTTTTCTTCTTTTCTCGTTCTGGGGGTGGTGCTCAGCATGGCAACTGCCTCTGTTGTAGCCTAAAGCTTCAGGAACTACCAATCACAGAACCACTGTGGAAATTCAATATTATTCCCTTCCCAGACCACTCCATAAATCCTCCTCCTCCCTTTAACTACATCAGAAATGTCATTCAGCCCCATAAGAAAGAAGCACATCAAGGATTAAAATACCAAGTTTTTTCCACAGCAGCCAGAGGAGTTTTACCTTGGCTCACCATCTGCGTAAGGTTCAGGACCTTTCAGTGTCTTTCGGCATTTGTGATTCAAGCAACCCAAGGCAGAAAGCAGAGGTGCCTAAACCCAAAGCTTCTCCCTGCTATTTTAAACTCCATTTTCAAGCAGCCACAGCCTCTGAAGTTCAGAATAGTAACTTGGAAAGATCTACTCATGTTAAAATCCTTTCATGTTAGCCTGCCAGTGCTATCAAGAAAATCTATATAACTTCCTCCATTGTTTCTCAGTCTTTGGCCATTCCTAAACTTTTGCCTTAAGTTATCCAGCTGGAGCAAGCCATCAAAATAATCCTGTGCTCTCTCATATTCCTCCAGTCCCTCCGTCAGAATAACCATCATTACAAAGTTATGCAGGCTTTTTCAAAAGAAGTGCTGGTTGTTCAGCAGGTCCCAGAGGACATATCTGAAGAACTCTTACAGATGTTTAGCTGTTGCCAGCACTAGTCAAAAGGAAGTATGGCCTGTGAAGAGTCCAAACCTGTGTATGCATGGTTTAACAAGATGGCTCAGGTGAAGCTGAGCACAATGTGTCAAATATTGTCCTAAGACACCAATTTGTATCTCTCTTCTCTACCCAGCCACCTATTTGAAAAAACCTATGTCATAGCATTTTGTATGTTCCCAAGTACAGGAAAAAGTAAGCAATGCAGTGAAATACCTGGAGTGTCCTTTTCCACTACTTTCATGTACATATAAAGGTTATTTGTAATTTTGGTTCAGGTTCAGTGACAGCTTTTGAAAACAGAGATAATCAACGTGGAATTAAAGTCATACCATGGGCTCTGTGTTTCTTTTACAGAAAAGCTTTCTGGCTTTCCTTGTTGCAATGGGCATCATCGTGGCCCTGGGTGATGCATACTGCTTTGGTAAACATTACAAGCCAGGGAAGGCTGACAAAGGTAAGAGCAGACAAGATCCTCTCACTTGATTGCTCTGTAGTAGCTTGGCTCTGTGTGGAGCTTCCAGGAAGGGCTCAAAACACAAGGGAGGAGGGAGATTTCAGAAAGACACAAATAGGAGGTTTCAGCACCGAGGTGACAAAAGTAGGGGTAAAACAAAGTCTCACCCTGGACTGAGTGTGGCTGCAGCAATATTATTGCTATTGGTGGTAGGTTGCTATTGCTATTGCAGCACCTGGAGCCGACGCAGGAGTTGAGAGTAGATCTGAATAAAATGTGGTGCCAGGTGGCAGACCTGGCTGTTTGGTTGCTCACTTTCATCCCAGATCTGTCAGACGGAAACCCTCTTTAATGAGTAAAGAAGAAAAGAATTCACAGCCTCCAAATAATTAGGCTAATAACACAGAGAACAAAATTACTTCTAATTTAATAATGCCAAGAAAAAAATTTTCAGAAAACTTCAAATAATTTTTAAACTTTGCAGCCTTTAGGTGGAGGCTTAAAGAACATGCTCTGTTTTGCTACTGTCTTATGCAGGCTGTATGCTGAATGGAAAACTGTACCCCCTTGGACACATTGAGAGGACAGAAGATTGCTACAGATGCGACTGCAGCCGAACTGAAATGAGGTGTTGTTCAATGTAAGTTTGAACTTCTGGGTACCATCACTGCCCATAGGACAACCACAGCTTTCCATTTGCTGGCGATAAGGACACAAGAGAGCCTTTTGTCCCTCATGTCACAGAGCAAGTGAAAGCCACATAGAGCTCTTGACCATTTGGATCCTTAGCTGTGTTTACCTTGGCTCACTTTCTGATGACTTGGAGTGGACACAGAGCCTTCCAGGCACATCCAGGTGGTGCTTGCCTTGAATTTTCTAGGAACTTGTGAACCACTCTGCCACTGCAGCTAAATCTTTCCTTAGCTGAGAAAGGGAGGGTAGGAAAGAATTATTTTCACAAATGACTTCAGCAAAATTCCTCTAAAGGGCTTATGATGATCCTAATCCCTTTCTGGAGGTGCTTGTCTCCAGTGAAAATGCTGACCCTAGAATGACAAGGCTCTGCTCTGAAGTCTCTCTCCAACATTCTCCTTTCCTCTCATCCTGCCTTCTCAAAGGGCCAAAAATGGCTTGATAACGATCTTTGCCTTTGTTTAGGTGACAATCGGTCTATCAGGAAACAGCTACCCCCTTCTAAGCAAATTGGAAATAATGGAAACTTAATGGAACAAAGAGGAAACATGCCAAGCTCATGCTTATGTCAGACTGTAGAGTGCAGTGCTAGAAATCCCCATGCTAGTGCTGACCATCCTGGTACATGTCCACAGTGCAGTGCAGCAAGGCATCATTTGAGGCCCTGGAAGCTGCAGCTGGGTTGCACTCAAGGGAGCTGAGCTGGTCTAAGGCATAGTTTCAGAGATGTCTCACTCAGCAATAGTTGAAGCCATAATCAATGAAGTATTGAAACTTCTATTGCTGGCAAGCTAACATTTGCTTTCTCTTTGCCAATGACAGATTTTCTACTCCTGTTGCTTATGACAAAGAGAACTGTGAAGTCATTTTCAATGAAGAAACTTGTGACTATGATGTGGTGCAGAAGGACGACCCCTCAAAGGAGTGCTCTCGAGTTGCACGTGTGGGCTAAAACGTGGGCTAACATCTGCTCCAAACCTCTGCACTGTGGAATTGCTCCCCTTCCTACACATGCTTTGCCATCACAGAGAAGTACAATGACGTGGGAAATCTACTTGTTCTAATTCAGCATATAAGATGCATTAATCACATACAATGTCTCCTTTCTGTACTATTTGCATGGGTGTCGCTGAGCTCTTTTGACTACAATAAATCCAGATGAAACATCCATCAATGCTTCATATTGATGTTTCTTTTTCTGCAGTGACATGGGGCAGTGTCACCTTCTTTGAGAAAGGGATGTCTTTGCCTCACTACTCTGACATGTCTGTCTCTATGTTCCTTGCTTATCACTGATCCTTCATCCTGGGATCATGACCTGACAGAATTTTCCAGGCTAGCTGAGAAATTATCACGCACTTTAAAAATGCATTTGTACTGAGATGAAAAACTGTTTCTTATTCCACTGAAATGGCATTTAATTAAAACTGAAATTTGACTTATGGATGGGGACTTTGCTACACATGGAAGGAGACAGATCTGTTAAGATCAGAAGAGAAATGATATTGTCTCCAGCTTGAGCCTCCCATCTTGAACTGAGACTTCAACTCAAATATTTGCTATGCCATCTGTTACCTGAGGCAAGTCACTCACACTGCCTTGCTATAAAATTAATATGATTCTTTGCTAATTCCTATGCCTTGAGAGATCTGAGGCCATAATAGGCTTTGAAGTTTGTGGACATATGAACCTCAGAGTTAACAAAAATGTCCCCACCAAGATAAAGCTTCTTTCTCCACCTTTACAAGATGTTTCTGTGTCAACAGTGCACTGTATATTTTAGTGTTGTTTGCTGTGCCTTTCCTTAACACAGTTGTCCTTTCTCATACACAAATGTGACAGACTTTATTTAACAACTGTAAAACCAATTTACATTATACGTAGCATTGTCAGTTTAAGGTCAAAAAGAATTTATTTATACCCTTGTGTTTACTTATGATCTGTGAGCTGATATGCCTCACTCTTCCTCTTGTTTTTCCCTTTCCAGTAGTGGTAATAGTCAACCTATTGGTTTTAATGACTGGATACACGAACTGCTATAAGGGGTCCTGCACTTACTCTCTCCCAAAGAAAACTGATCCCTCTCATGAATGTGAGAGTAGTACTGACATGCTGGGTTAAGAAACAAGGTTCTTGGACTGCTTTCATTTTTACTGTATCTCTTCTAGCTTTCAGTTGTTCATAGATAATAGCTGGTTTACTGGGCTGTTTTAATAACATTACTGCTCTGAAATCATGCTGTATTTCTCTCTGTCGATTGCCTAGCACTGAAAGATACAGGAAAACAGGTCGATCACCTTGCATTACTCTGATTATCTCTGTGGTCATTAGTGAGATGTAACCAGAAACTCCAGCTGAAGAATGACTAAATAAAAGAGCAAGGTAAATCTTCAAGAAAGTCTCCAGGAGTTTTCCCTGCCTTAGGAAGGAAGAGAACACTCTGTCCATCAGCCTAAGCAGAAAGAGGACATAAAAGTGGGCAGAGCACTGATATTCTTAGAATGATTTAGTAAGTAATTATCTGGTTGGGAAGCCAACCAGATTTTAACTGTTAGAGATACCAGTTCCCCACACAAACAAGACATCCATCAGCCCTGTACATGAACAACATGAAAACATGCAACATTATATGGGTCACAAATTATCTCAATAATCAATACATGCAATAGACTATCTATATAGAGTTTGCTGCTATGAGTGGTTTCAGCACAGCACGCTGTTAGGTTTCCTCTGAATTCACAGATCATGCAAAGAGTTTTTTCATTGTCCCTAAACAGTGCCCAGGCTTAGACAGGTCATTCCCTGCTGTGTTCCAAAGAAAGCTGCTTGAAAGAACTTCTCTCCATACACGGCATAGCTTGCACATAGAAAACACAGGGGGTCCTGCAATGGGAACAGCTGGGCAGTCACTGCTTGTCTGAAAGCTGAGAAAGAAAACATATGTACAGTGGCTGGATTTTTGCGTTTTTTGGAGTTGAGCAACAAATGCATCCTCTACCACTTAACACCAAACCAGCAAGTTGACTGTATTTTGGCTGTAACAAATTCCACAAGTTTCACTCCAGTACACCAGCATCACTATGTGACTGGTGATTTTTGTTCACAAACTGCAGGGTGCTGCAGGGTGCCTGTCAAGCAAAATGCTGCATGCAAAGGCCAAAATGTGAGAAGAAAAAAAAATTAAATAGTTCAGTAGTAGTAACAGAATAAAGGCAGTGCAATTTGCTGGTCCTTTTGTTTCAAAATGTCCTGGAACATTTGCTCCAGATTACCTTTGAGGATGTGGAGGAGCCAATACCTTGAACAGGATTCTGTGGTACTTCTCACAGTATTGTCAGCCAAGGTGAAATAGTTTATTTCAGCACATAAAGGTTAGAAAGAGCTGGCACACAAAGCTAGGGCACATCCTCAGGCATCCCAAGACGTAAATCAATTAGATCAGGCAGCATAGGAGCAGAACATGAGAAGGGAGACTATGAATTCTCCCTGTCTTCACTGCAACCAACCAAGGCAGCTTTGGCCTGGGATCAGGGTGTAATACTTTGCTATCCTACTCTGACTTTTTTCCCCCCTCTTTAACTGGAAAATGCACATGGTCTGAAACACTGATAGTAAAACAAACCACAATGATGCTGTTAAATTGGCTTCATATATATTTGTGAGAGATCCAAAGTGGATATGTGGACTCTGTTGATTTCAGTCAAGAAATTCCTAGTGCCTGCACTCATGGGCTGATATGTTCTGTTGGTTTACCAGTGACTAGGAGTCAAGAGCATGAACCATATGGCTGTGCCCATTTCAGGGCAGGGCACACATCAGCATTGCCAAATCTAATTCACTAGTGATAGTCTGATTGTGGGCAGCTTTATCAAACAAGGAAGAAAATGGTTATCTAGGACTCACTTTTTAAAACCTAGATGGCTCAAAATATGCATGTAAATTTTGTTGTGAGTGACAACTACTATGCCTCTAATGGGTTTCTCAGGGCAAGTGCTAAATATTCCTTCCAAGCTTGAAATTCCTTTCAACGTAGTTCCTCTAACTGCTTTCCAGATCTGGTGTGGCACAAAAGGCACATCTATTTCTTCAATGCCTGTTAGAACAAACCTTCCTGTATGTAACTGCCTTATGTTAATAATGTCCTCCCCATGAGGTCATTTTACAGAAACATCATTGTTGTTAGACTTTCATGGTCAGTTTGCTCAAGGACTGTTATCACAAATTCCCTCTCTATATAAGTTCACTGAGAACATGAGCTTCCTACTGGCCATCTCCTTACTGGAAGCCCTGTACTTCTGCAAGAATGGTGAGTCCTTACATCTTATGCTGTAAAAGGCTATGGTATGTTGCTATAGATTTTAAAGGAGTTTCTGTTGAATTTATCTCAGTACTTGGTGATCTAAGCAACTTGGAGAATGTATAAATTCTGTGTTATGAGAGCAAGCATAAGACAGAGAGGCATAGGCAGGTAAGAACCTTGCATAAAACATATCAGCATGTAAATGGCAGGAGATGTAACAGGACTCCAGCTAAGGCTTTATTATAACTTCTTTTCACTCTTCATGTAATCTTTGGAGCTAATCTCTTTCTGGCAGAAAGCAGATCTGTTGTCTCTCAACCTAGAATTGGCCTTCATTTTTGTGAAAAGTCTGGATAACATCTGAATATTTAGTTAAGCTCAGAAGTGTTATCTTCAGTTTTACTCCTTTGCTACTCTGTTGCAATTTTGTAAGTTTTAATCTCTTCTGAGAGACAAAATGCTAGGTTTTCCTCCTCTCATCTCTCAGAGACAACTTCTTTTTACAAGTCACCAGTTCTATCTGAAACAGACACATGTACATATGTGTGTGTATGTGATTGTTTATTCCTGGTCTACTTTTCCTCTATAACCAAGATTTTATATTAATCACAACTAATTACATCCCAGAATTCTTGCACTTATTTCCTTTATATCCCCAATGGAAGCCCTCCAAACATTTCAAACTAATATTGAAGGATAAGCCACTAGCTGAGGAACTTCAGTTGAACTTTCAGAAAAAAACGCTGACAAATGTCACAGCATATAGAATTATTTAGGTTGCAGGAGGACACCTGCAACTCATTTGGTCAAATCTCCTGTCTAAAGTAGGGCCAAGTCTTGAGTATTCAACTTCAGCTAAAGTTATTTAACTTGTTCCTAATCCTTCAATATTAAGGTGAAACATTTGGTAGTTCTTTAGACTCCAGTGAAAAAGGTTTTGCAACTATGAGTGAGGTTAGTGAAAGAAACAATCAGTGACCAATCCCATGGAATAAAAAGGGACAAGAAAAATTAATGGGGAGGGGAAAGGAATAGAACATGTTTTTTTCACAAACAGTATCTGGATCTATCAGTCCTGTTATCGGGCAATGCTTGATTTTAACAGCTTGAAAAGAGATTTTTTTTTCCCCCCCCTTCCATATGATGCCCAGCCTCTGCTTCTTCTAAATGGTTCAGTATTCCTGATTGTGTGTTAAAGTGTTTAAACTGCAAAGGACAATTGGATTTTTGATTTGAAACCACAATGTATTTCCCTGTTTTGAATGGCAGTATTTATCATCAAGACATCTTAATAGTTACTTATGTATTCATATGAATTGTGTTTTCTTGTCCAGAAGACCATCTTGCCGTGCCTTCTTGTTCTTGCCATTAGCGTGTCACTGTCTGATGCTTCTTGCTTCCTTATGGAATGCAAGCCAGGGATGTCTGACGGTGTGACTGTAGGTAAGATGTCAACAGCTCTCAACTTGACAGACATCATCAGAATCACTGCCTGATTTGATTTGTCCCTTCTGTGCAATTTATCACCACTTAGAAATAAGTGGAAACAGTGGAAAGAAATCAATGGAAATGGGAGGGAAACGGGATATGGTAAGAGAAGAATTTATAATATATTATAAAAAGGAGAAGCTATTTAGGGAGAATCACACGGACCAAATTACAAATTAATTTTGTCCAGGGAAGTAGCATGGGCTGCATTAACTAATGCTGCCAAGAACCACTGGAAACAGAGGGACACAGGATTCTCTTCTCCCTGCATTACAAAAGCACACCCTGCTCTGCTGGGGAACCTCCATGTTTTGCAGATGGGGAAGTTCATGTAAAAAGCCAGCAAAGGTCCCACCCATTGAGTACAAGTAGCACTGTTGTT